GTTAATTTTTGTATTTTTAGTAGAGACAGGGTTTTGCTATATGGGCCAGGCTGGTCTCAAGTTTCTTGCCTCAAGTGATTTCACCTGCCTCAGCCTCTCAAAGTGCTGGAATTACAGGGTTGAGACACCCTGCCCGGCCTAGCTGCTGTAGCTTCTGTATATCTCTATTCCTTTTGTGCATTAGAAATGCCTTGAAACCCCCAGGGAACATCAGGGGGAAAAAAAAAAAAAAAAAAAAGACTACCAGAGGTCCTACTGTGTGTTTAGCTGAGGTGGGAGAAGAAAGTTTAGAAAAGCAGTCTTTCACCTATCCTCATGAAAGATTTACAGTGATAACACAGTTCTTCAGAATTTCACCCAAAAGCTTCAGCTGCCTTGGTTGTTGCAGTCATTGAAGTGAATAACACATTATTTTGTTATTTATTTTTAGATACTACATTTTTTTCTTAAACTGTGGAAACAGACCTGTGAAATTAATTTTGTAAAATCGGGCTTTAATTTTTTTTTTTTTGAGACAGAATCTAGGTCTGCCACCCAGGCTGCATACAATGGTGTAGTCTCGGCTCACTGCAACCTCCACCTCCCAAGTTCAAGCTGTTCTTCTGCCTCAGTCTCCCGAGTAGCTGGGACTACAGGTGCCTGTCAGCACACCTGGCTAATTTTTATATTTTTGGTAGAGATGGGGTTTCACCATGTTGGCCAAGCTAGTCTCAAACTCCTGACCTCAAATGATCCACCCGTCTTGGCCTCCCAAAGTGCTGGGATTACAGTCGTGAGCCACTGCACCCAGCCAAATTAAAGGTTTTATAATTAATGTTGTTAGGAAAAGGGGAACTACGCTGCTTACTTCCATACAAGAAACTTAATTCTGAAAGTATTCTCATTTTACAGTAATAAAATTGAGAGTTAGGTGTTAAGTGGTATACCTGAATGAATACCACAAGGACAGAACTAGGATTCAGCACATAAGACATATGTCTTACTCCAAAGGCCATCCCTTTTGTAATACTGTCATCTTTCACCATTCTCCGTGTCTTGCTTATAGTTCCTGACTCTTAAAGTGAGACTTTAAGTTCGCTTGTGGGAGCAGTGGGATTGTTGTTTTAGATTGTGAAATAACTGGATGTTTGAATTAAACTGTGGTGGTATAAAGAATAATTGTTGCTTGATGGAAAATTGAGCTTTGAAGAAATTTTGACTTAACTTTGTTTTCTTTTTATCTTTAGTTATCTGCAAATAAAGACCCTACTCTAAACTCTATAGAATGCTTTTTTTTCTTTTTTTTGGCTTTTCGAGACAGAGTATCTCTCTTGTTACCCAGGCTGGAGTGCAGCGCCGTGGTGAAATCTCAGCTTACTCCAACCTCCACCCCCTGGGTTCAAACGATTCTCGTGCCTCAGCCTCCCAAGTAACTGGGACTACAGGCATGCACCACCATGCTCGGCTAATTTTTCCTGTTTTTAGTAGAGACGGGGTTTCACCATGTTGGCCTCAAACTCCTGACTCAGTGATCTGCCTCGGCCTCCCGAACTGTTGGGATTATAGGCATGAGCCACCGCACCTGACCAGAATGCTTTTTCGTAATGTAATTCATCATGATGATGAGTATTTTCTTGAGCTTATTTAGTACATTTTTCATACAGTAATAATAATCTTTCTCTAGAGTGAAAAATGAGCGATTTTTTTTTCTGACTTATCATTTGGGGGCTGGATGTGGTGGCTCACGACTATAATCCCACCACTTTGGAGGCCAAGGCAGGAGGCCAAAGCTGGTGGATCACTTGAGCCCAGGAGTTCAAGACCAGCCTGAGCAACATGGCAAAACCCTGTCTCTACTAAAAATTTAAAAATTTAGCCAGGCATGGTGGTGCACACCTGTAGTCCCAGTGACTGGTTAGGCTGAGGTGGGAGAAATCACCTGAGCCTGGGAAGTTGAGGTGCAGTGAGCTGAGATCACGCTGCTGCATTCCAGCCGGGGTGATGGGAGTGAGACCCTGTCTTAAACAAATAATAATAATTTGGGGATGATGTAGACAGAAATAAGGACAGAGGTATGAAAATGAATAATTTTCTTTTTTTTTTTTTTTTTTTGAGATGGAGCTCTGTCGCCCAGGCTGGAGTGCAGTGGCCAGATCTCAGCTCACTGCAAACTCTGCCTCCTGGATTTACGCCATTCTCCTGCCTCAGCCTCCCAAGTAGCTGGGACTACAGGCGCCCGCCACCTCGCCCGGCTAGTTTTTATTTTTTATTTTTTATTTGTTTAGTAGAGATGGGGTTTCACCGTGTTAGCCAGGATGGTCTCGATCTCCTGACCTCGTGATCC